AATAAATTGTACTTAGTTATTCAATAGATGACTTACATAATATTTTTAGAATCATTTTTCAACGCATTCTCATTTCCGGGTAACATAAAACGTTTATTTTTGGCAAGCAATAAAACCGAGAATCTATCTTGTATTGACATTTTAAAGACTCATGCATGCGTTCTAATCATAATTGGACAAAGAATGTTGTACAGTACTGGTCAGCCACTACAAAACCCTAAAAATCTTGACGAAGTATATACATGCATAATATATAATTACCATATTCATATAATTAATTACTAACAAATACAATAAATTATTTATGTTCACTATAATGACACTCGGATATTTCTATAGGTAAATTTATCATATGCTATGATCCGCAATGGATCATTGGTTGTCGATTTCTTTTTTGTCATCAGTGGCTTCCTAACTTTTTATTTTCTCTATGATGAACTAGTCAACACAAAAATCATAAATATACCATTACTCTTGCTATGGAGATGGTTGAGGTAAGACTAAGATACATATAAAAGTATAATAACATTTTTATTTCATATTAATAATAATACTTCAAATGTGTTAAACAAATGCATTGTATTAATGAATAAAGTTATAAATTAYAAATTGGGTGTAAACTTTACGTGTTGAATTATAAAATAAAAACAAAATATATTGTACTATTGATGTTCGAAATTTGAATAGGTATTTTATATTTATTTTTAAATGGTTTAAGTTTTTTATTAATTAAAATTGTTGGGTTTTCATTGAAAGCAAAGAAGWAGGTGGTTTGACATTTATTTAAGTATAGTATTATAATAGGATATATCATCGTTTAATTGACTTATACACGAGTAGATTTCCATAAAACCATACACATTAACCATAAACAATTTTCATCATTACATTATTTTATATTAGGGCTGGCGGTATTTTCGGTATACCGGTATTTAAAAAATTTCGGTATCCGGTATTTCAGAATACCGGTATACCGTGCTTTGGTAATTACCGTTGTTACCGAAAATACCGTGCCACGGTAATACCGAAAATATCGAGGTGCGATAATTACCTAAATACCGTACCTATGTAATTACCGAAAATACCGAGTTGCGGTAATTACTGAAAATATCGTACCTATGTAATTACCGAAAATACCGAGGTGCGGTAATTACTAAAAATACCGAGGTGCGGTAATTACCAAAATTACCGAAAATACAATACCTACCTACATTTATTTTTCATTATTTTTATGTMATCTGATAACTATAATGGCATAATGCCATAATACTTATTGTATTATTATAATGAAAAAATCATAGACAGCTAGATAGCCGACTATAATTTGTTATTGAAGCCGTGTCCCCCTCCCGTCCGCTCCGGACCTAACCTATAAACTAATGGACATCRTTTAGAGACAGRCGGGATTATTGAGAGAGAAAAGAAACAAAGTAGTCCGCACCTCGGTATTTTCGGTAATTACCGTATAACCGATAATACCGTAGTTACCGATAGTAAACAAATACCAGATACCGGTATCAGAATTTCGAATACCGCCAGCCCTATTTTATATCCCTAATGTGTTTCCTACTGTCATCAATTACATTTCAAGATTAAATTATAATTTTCCTATTCACTAAAGTGAACCTACCTGTATAAACCGTTTTATTTAAGATAATACTCCTTTAAATACTTAATTTTCAGTTGAGACCAAGGATGCTTGTAAATTATAATTATTTTGAATCCATATATTTTTCAGACTAATGCCTGTATATGGGTTAATGATAGCTTTTCATACATTTGTTTTATTACACTTGGCTGATGGTCCATTATGGAAAAAAATAGCAATTCAAGAATCAGTAAACTGTCAAAATAGTTGGTGGAGCAATTTTCTGTTCATAAATAACTACGTACATGCGGACCATCCAGTTAGTACATTTTTTATAGTTTTTTTTTTTTTTTTTATGACCTAACAACTTCCAGTGTATAATTCAATCGTGGTATTTGGCGTGTGACATGCAATTGTTCATCGCCGGTATTATACTTGTGTATTTGGTGTGGAAGTACCAAAATTATGGAGTCTACTTAATGTGGGCTACGATATTTCTGTCGTGTATAATCCCGGCTTTTGTCGTATACACTCATCAATTTTATCCGACAATTTTAAGTTATATTTCGTAAGTAATTGCCAATATATTTTTATTCTGATATAAAATAAATTAAATCACTATTTTTACGACAAATATTAATTGATTATTTATAAATTGTAATTATTTCCAATTAAAAAATGGAATTGAAAATTGAAATAGATTAGTCCTTCACTTTTAAAGATATAAAGTGTATTATCGGTCAAAAATTCTAGGTATAATGGAAAACAATGATAAGATATTAAAATGTTTCGCTACTAATATCGAGGTATGTAAATATAGGTTAACCTATGTTAAACAACAAATAATCTTACCTTTTGTAGACCGCGAATTGWGAATTTTTATTGTGATGCGTAATACGTTTCCTTAACAGTTCTTGATCTAAGAAGTTAATTTTTTAATTTTTGTCTTTTAT